GGCATATGATTCATGGGTTTGGAAGCCTATGTTTCCTTCTTCAGTTTTTTGAGCTAAATTAAAATGGCTCATTTTTCTATTTCTCATACATTTTTGGAAGAAAATAATATCATAAATGACCTTGAAATGCCTTTTCTTCCCTCTAGCTACTTGCTTTCATTATTTGTAAATGTACTGTAAATACACTTGACAGCAGGCTCTTCTGGGAAGCTCTGTATAACGGCTGGTAAAATACAGGGCTCAGTGGAAGTAGTAGCCTTGCCACAGATAGAAAAAGTCCCAAATTTAACTTTGTGCTTTGCTTTTAGATTCTTATTTTAAGCAAATAAATTAACTATGATCTACTGAAAGAGTGTTGCAGGATTTAATTTACAACTTTTACTGTCTCCTGCAAGCCTGAAGAATTCAGCAAAGCATCTTAAAACTGATGTTCATTCCAGGTGACAGAGACTCTGCTGTCTAATTAAGAATTACTTCTTGCAAATGTAAAGGTATGTTTTCAGATGTTGACATGTCAAAATATTAGGAGGAAGAAACAAAATCAAATAATTGCCAGGACTGCTTTGTTTTCATGCAGAAGTTGTGGGAACAGATGGGTGGGACAGAGAGGTGAAGAAACAGCACATAAACTCTTAACAAAAATATGTATTGCACTGAGGTCCCAGGTAATACCTGTCTAGAAAAGAAACAAACAACCTAAATCAAACCCACCACTCTGATCAACTCTGAAAGTGATAATGCTATTCTATGTGCTATCCCTTTGTCTGTAAAATAGTGTGATGCTCAATGAAAAAGCTACTGGACCTCTAAAAGGCTGCAGTGTAGCTACCTGGAAGAGGAGCATTCTTCAGCAAGGCCACAGAGAGCTTGAGCTCAGGTGAACCACCAGCAAGTCCCACCGCAGGCTTTTACACAGCCCAGTATCTGGCTGGACAGTCTCTGTGGCAGACAAAACAGATTAGGGAGATTAGAAAGTCTGAGCTTGTGCATTTAAAATTAGAAGCTTCTCCTTGCATACAAAGCACACAGTCACATCTTTACCTAGAAGAGGCATATACAGGAAAGAAAAACAGGTTCTTTTATAACTGAATTGTTGACACAATTTTAGATGAAAGTTTGGGACATCTTCGAATGTTCCAAGCGTTTGAATGTTCCAGCTAGGAAAGGATCCCACAAAGGGTTCACAAAAGATTCTCTTAGCAGAGGTGATGCTGTGTCTGAAGCTCACAAAACCCATCAGGGAGCAGTGCTGCAGCTGCTCCACACATGCCACAGCTCTGCACAGCTGGCAGTGCCATGAGGAGGAGCAGTCATATATATGAGACAGTAGCTGTGATTTAGGCTGTGTTCAACCCATCCTTAAATCAGTAAGTGCTGCTTATCTTCCTTTTATTTCACCACTAGACATAGGTTTGCTGGAGCCATCTGACTCAAATTAGTTTTTCCTCTCACTTGAGTCTCTCATTGTTGAGACCATAAAATTCAATTATATTGCTGCAAAGCCAGCACAAATGATACTTTCATCAAAAACCGTACTCCTAAACACCAGTGAAGTTATTATTTTGGACCACTAAAATCAGTTCAAGTTCTGACTGCATTTCCTAGCCAAAAGACAACCTCATATAAATGCCTGAAAAATGAGACAATTATGCTAAACCAGGAACACATGGACAGCAGTATCTTGGAGACATACCTTAGGGCTAATGGATAGAAACTGCTCTGTAAGCTAGGAAAAATATCATAAGGTGAGTAAATACCACAAAGGAACCGCAGGCAAATCAATTTTGTCAGGAAAAAAAGTATGAATGAGGATAGTAAGATCTGTTGATTAATAATTTCTCAGTATAGAAGCCTATTACAGTCAAGATTTAGATTAGGTGAGTTTACAAAGGAAGAGAAGTCTTACAGCTCCTTTCATATTAGCAGAATCCTTGACATCAGGACTGTTTCAACCAAACTAAACTTAAAGGAATCACCAGAGGCTAAATACTCGTTTTCCAGAGCTCAGAGAGTGCTATCAAGTAAAAAAGCAGCATCAGAAGTATGTTTGCCAAATCTCGCAAACAGAAATGCTGAAATAAGCCTCACTAGTCCCTAAGGGTAAAAGCTGAAGTCAGCAAGCTGCCAGTTGTGAAGAGAAGCTCCAAGGGCGTTCTCCTCTTATTTACAGCCCTTCAGAGTAAGGTGGCTGAGGTCACAAACCAAATATTCACTTAGAAAGTAAACTAAATCACAGTGCACTAACCCTAAAAAAACTCAAACAATTTGTAATGTCAGAGACTCCTTGATCAGAAAGGCATTCTTATGTCCTCTTTTTAAAGAACAATGGAGAGCAACATTTGTTGTCATTTGGCTGCAACATTACTTCATGCTAGAGACAAGTGAATTCTAGTTTTTTGGTTTAGGTTGAACTTTGAATTGCTTTTTGTGGTTTAGTGGTTTTTGTTGGGTCATGTCATGTCCGTGTGTCTCTCCCTCCCCCTGCCTTCTGGTTTTTAGCTTTAGTAGCAACCTTCTATGTGCATCTGGAAAGCAACTAATATGCTTTTTCAATCAAGAACTGTGAGGTGGAAAGAACCCCTTTAGAGATGTTAAGGGACATGCCAGCACTAGAAATGTATTGGAGTGTAGAGGAAATGGCAAAAATGATCCTTCTCCACAGAAATGAATGCAAATGTGCTTATCCAGCATTTTGTGGACATAACACATCCTTACTCTACAAAACATCCTGATTGTCTTGTGTTGTCAGAAAACCATGAAAGACATAAGCTTGTAAAAATGAAAATTCAAATTGGCAACAACAAATTTAAAGAACTTCACTCAGAGGGGCAGGCAAGTTGGGTGAATAGGAAAAAATCCCCAACCCAAACCAACAAACCACTCGCCCCTAAGCAGCAGGATTTCTCCCTAACTAGTCACCAGCCTGCCATTTGCAAAGGTTCAGAACTAGTAGTAGGCATTTCTAATTAATAGCCAGTAGAATACTGGTAAGGCATTCATGTTTAAAAAACGTTTATACACGTATAAACCCTCTTAATACAACAGTTTCATCTTAAATATCATACTGGCCTCCAGTTTCTCTGCGTAGGGCATAAGCCTAAACCTCTGAGCTTTCACAGTTCAATGGCACTAAGTTGTTTTGTTGTGAGAACCTGGAAGACCTGAGGGACAAGACATCACCTGGGAAACTAGGTGTGCCAAATATGAAGGCATTTTATTCTCACTTGGGTGAGTGACAAGGATGTGGAGCTGGAAATTCAGCCATGGAGATGTGCCCCAGCATGTCAGAGGAGTGGAAAAACAGCAAGTGCGAGGAAAGATGAATGCTCTGTGAGCATCAGGTCTCCAGCCTTCCCTTGTGAAGTGCCTCACTGCTGCTGATTAGGTGCACAGAACTGGAAAGACTTTCAGTTATCATCATACCCCAATCTCCCAACAATTACAGGCACACTTTTCAGGTTTTGTACTGTATCTTAAACACACCTCCATCCCCAGTTTTATGCAATTCCCTACACTGACATGCAGATTGGCCACAATCCTATTTAGAATGTGCCTGTGTTCAAGCCATCAACCTCCTGTAATGATTACTGATGCCACCACTCAGACGACGGTATTTTTAGAGGTACCTCTTGGAGCACTACCCCACCATCCAATTAACAGATTTAGAAAATTCCCTGTCTGCTCTCTTTATCCAAAAACACCTTAATTGTAACATCTAAAAAAAAAAAAAAAGGCAAAAAGCTCTAAGAAAATTAAGAAAATTTTTATTAAGAAACTTCACAACTCTGCTTATTCTTATGCTAATGTTGGCAGCTGGCACAGAACTACTCCAGAACACTCCCATCGATCACCACTCATTTTGGCTGATTAAAAAGTCAAGCTTTTTAAACTTACCAAAACACAAGGTTGAAAACAAAACTTGCCACCAATTTCTTTAGTCCTGCTTCGCTTTGCTGCTTCACTAGCAACAGCCTAAACCTTACAATATTGAAAATCAAGTTTTATGACTACTTGTACCATGGTAGTTAATTATACTTTTGTAATTTACTGTTTCCTGCAGCTGGAACACAACATAGCAGTCATCCAGAAATTAACTAATGCAGCAAGGTTGTGTTTTTTTCCAGTTCAGTCAGAAACTTGTTATTTTAGTAACTAAAATTTTAAGCAAACACACAAATGCTTATGTCTTTAAGCTTCAAGACAAAGTACTATTAGCAGACATAGAAAGTATTAAGAGATATCTGCTCTCCAAACCAAACACACAACAAATAACTCCTTTCTGCATTCATTGTAGCAATTTCATCAGAATGGAAAGAGCAGTTTTAGTTTCTTACAGCCAAGAGTTGTTAAGACTTCAGCTCCCCAATAATCCATCATTCCACTTTTATCTAGACTAAGTAGATAATGGGACAGCTGATTCATATGAGAAAAGACAATTCAATAGTAATGAAATATGCACTGTCCTAACAGCTGCCTGTATTTGTGCAATTTCCCCATTTAGAACCAAACATGCCCTAAGTTTCCTGTATGTGGCAACCCTCCTCTGAAATCCTCCTAAAAATTATTTAACTCTTGCAGAAAAGAAATTTGTCTCATGCAGAAGAGATATAACGAAAGCCTGTTATCACAAAAGACAAAAAGATAAGCTATTTTTTTGAAGGTGGAATACTTATTGCATTAAGTCTTTAAATCATTAGAATATCTGGAATGAGTAGAAGTGGCAACAGTAAGATCCTAACAATCTGGGTTTTTTGAAAGTGAAGGTCAGTAGATTCAATTTGACAGACATCATAAATTAAAAGAACTATTTCAAACTGTCACTTTAAAGTATGATAATAGGATGCATACATATTTCAACACTTACACCAGTAAGAGCAGGCAGCTTTGGAATGTAACTTTATCTTGATATTTAGATTTGGGTTAATTGTTTCACAATATACACAGTGCTTATGTAAAAAAGAAAGTATCAAGAATATGATTACAGTATCAGTGAAGTCCAGTAAAAGTAGTAAGTAAAGGTTCTGTTTATTTCGAGCCTATACATACAGAAAACAGCCTCCTTCCTAAATCCACAGAAAACTGTTATTCACAGAACTGTATTAAAAGAAGTCAGAAGCATATTTGTAAAAACATTTTATCATATTTTCACTTTCCAAAGGGGATTCAAATAGTTCTAAGAACTTAAATAAAAGAACAAGGGAAGAATAAAAAGGAGAGAAAGATAAATGTGTCCTTGTGTTTTGTTACAGCAAAGAACAGGTGTTTGAGACCCCAACACTTAGCTGCTCATCTACACTACAGCTCTCAAAGTAGTGACTGCCTGAATTGAAGCAGTGATCTGTATGAATCACAACCACTATGAAACACATTCAAGCTGAAAGTAGATCTCATTTTACAGCAATGATCAACAGCCACAATCTACATAAAGAGATGTACTACAAAACTCCTGCCAGTACAGAAACAAAAATACTCTAGGTCTGCAATAGTTGAAGACCATTTTATCCCTTTAAGGGACAGCGCTACACCTCCTGCCTCCTTTATGGCAGGTTAGTATCTGAGTCCAGCTTAGTACTCAATGCAAAAAACAAGAACAAGAAACAATACTGCAGCTATGGTTATTTAGAATGAAAGCACTTTATTTTTTTCCAACCAAATTCAAAGTCAAACTTAGAGCTGTGAGTGCACACTTTGTATCATAGGTATTAACAAAACTTGCATGAAAAGTTTTATAGACGGAAATTTTTCACAGTTGTTTCAAACTGAATCATGTTAAATACCTAGCCCTGTGTTTTGTCTAGAATTCTCACCTTCCCCTCCTCACTTCTAACAAGACACACTCTTAGTATATTTAAAGTAGATGAGCAATAAATAATATGATTAAGTGCTAAAGAATATATGTGCAAAGGGGGAGAAAAATAGTTGCATTTAGTCTCATTTGGAGACATAAAAACAGCTATTTAACTTGTGGAATAAGCATAAATTGTTTAAAGAAGGATAACATAAGCACTAATAACACAAGCATGCTCAATCTATTTTCTCTGTGAATCTTTATCTGTAGCCTACAATGATTACTGTGTGTAGGATGGTAGACTGAAGGCAAAAATTAGACTACACTGTCTGGCTTTTACCAAGGCTATTAAAACGGCTTCATTTTTTTCCTTCACTAATGCAACATCAGCTCAATAGAAAGTTCCTCTCAAAAGAATCAACTGCTTTCATAAACTTCAGCATTTGCATTGTGCAAAGCTGGAATAACTTCACACCAGTACCATAATTTGCATGGTTTTGTATTCTGAATCGTTAACTATGAATTGTTCACTTTGCACCAGAAAACCAGGCACAAAAAATAGCTGCAAATCTCCACATGAAGACAGACATTCAATCTTCTGTAGAACTGGAAGATCTGGCAAGATAAACTGGCAAAAGCAACCACTTGCTAGTCTAAAATGTAAGCTTCACATAAGATACTTTCAAGTTTCCACACACAAGAATGTCCACTCTTTAAAGAAAAAAACCCCAAAAAATCACAAATTAACACTGTAGGATCCATCTTCAAAACCTTTTTCTCTTCAATGCAAAATGCATAAAGACATTTAGCTCCAAACTTGCCTACTTAAGACGCCAGAAAATGAAAATACAGTCTGCTTTATAATGCAGTGGGGTTGATGTCACTCAGAATAAGCCATGTGTACTCTGTGCTTTCCTAGTCTCCCATCCCTCCTGCAAACTCAAGTGTTAAAACTGCAGCCTTTAATAAAGCAACCTACAGGAGGGAAAAAATCATTTTATTTGAATCTCACTGCAGAGGGTAACTCTTGGGGGGCTTAATACCAGCAACAATCTGTAAGCATTATTAAGGGGTGTGGAACTGCAGTACCTGTGTGATACAAGAGTAGAGTACTCTTTCCTGAGAAATAAGCATAGCTCCATCAAAACAGAGACATACATAATCATTAAGACATGGTAACTTCTTCATACCCTGCTAAATAATGGCATAGTTTTTTCCACCTTCACTCTTCAGCAAGCTATCAGCAATACCTCAACTTGGCCACTTACATTTACAAAATATTGGACTTTTTTTTTTTTTTTTTTTTCAGCCCTGCAGAAAGAGACAGTTTGACAGAAGGATTACTTAATTTCAGTTTAGGAGATGGGCCTCAAGTGCTTTCAGGGAACACTGAGGTAAAGCATACTGTTTTTCAAAGACATCAATTTCATATCAAGTGGTATAACATGAACAGCTTTGTGGAGGCATCCTTCATCCTCAAGTACATATGTGCTTCTGCATCACAAGAACATACAGGAAAAGCATTAACTCTGCCAGGATCTTCTGGCACATCCTAAAACCAGCATTTTTTGAAAGCATCATAAAGATCAGCATTTATGCATGAGATAGCTCATAAACTTAATTCTTCGATTCACTTAAACAACTATATGAATTTAGTGGAGTTACACAGCTGTTAAGACACTTAACTCATGCCAACTTTGACCAGGTATTATACAAGTACATTCTATAACACCAAAACTGATTCCTAGCCATTTGAGAACTAAAGAGAATACAAGAAGCTGAGCCCGAATATTACTGCCAATAGTTTAAATGACTTAAGAACATAATGGAAAAAATAATTTCATAACACAAGACACCTGAATCCTGTTCTCACAGTCTAATAGCTGCCTGAAAACAGTAAAAAAATTCATTTAAAATAAGGCACAGATACGAATGACAATGCTTAATACTGTGTTATTGATGCTGTCAAAATATAACTTTTGGCAGTTAAAAAGAATGCATTACTTTAGTAGATATTCCTCAGTAATGATCCTCAAGTCAATCTTACCTTGTCTCTAAAACAAAAGCACTGTCCAGACATCGGATTTGGTAACTATGGCCATACAGAATTCATTATAAGCTCATGTATCTAAATCTACATAGAAGCTAGATTTTTAAATACTAGAGCATCCCTTTAATCAATTACAACTATGCTTTCTTACATTATCAGAAATAAATGGCCATGAGTTACTTTATTCTATTAGAAAAAAAAAATAAAAGAAAAAATATCTGAGTTTCCATAAACAGTATTCTCCTTGAGGAATAATCTAAGAGTTTCAGCAATCGCCACCCAAATGATAAAACTAGACTTTGTTACTTTTCATTTAAGTGTTCAACAGAACAGTAAATACAAGAATGCTGTCATAGTTCCTTTAGATCTGTAATTGATAGTAAGAACATCTGAAAAGTTCTATCTCAAAACTTTGAGTGTGAAATATCTCTAATGATACATAACAATTCTAGCAAAAAGACTGGCTATGTGAATGTCTCCAGATTGTCCCACGAAGTCTGTGGTTTTGGGATGCCCCAGAAACTCTTTGTAACTGACTACTCTAGGAAATGCAAAACCTTTGGTGGTTTACAGAACTGTCAAGTAACCAAAAGCACCAAGTTCTGATGACAGATTTCTAGTTGGCCTTCAGAAGTCAGCAACAGTGATACATAAACTAAATTATAAATCTAATCAACAGGAGGCCTGAAGTTATTGACCACTACAGGAGTATAAAATTCATTTATTTAATCTGTAAAGCAAAAACCACTTGGGGCTATCAAAAGACTTTTCTCCTGCATGTCAGTAAAAGTGCACATGCTTAATGCTCGGTATGAAAACAACCTTTGCAAGTACTTATTTTTAAGGAAGTAGTCTATTTGGTCATACATGCTGTGCATGTATATTTTTAAGTGAAGAGCTGGCACTTCATAAGTTTTACCTGAAAAAGCATGCTTCCTAATCACAAAATTAAAAAAGGCAACAGCAAGCCTAAGATTTAAGACTCCCTCAGAGCTATTAAGATATAGCTTTTAAATTAAAATAGAACAGTATACCAATATGACAGTAAAAGTTTATAGCTGTATTCTTGATGCTGTTGTTGGTATGAATTTGCCAACATCGATCAGGTTAGAAACTGATCAATTTTGCAAAAGCTCTTTCTCAGTTTCTTAAAGGAGGTAGTATAAAAAGGGTGTGATTTGAATAACATGGCCTCATCTGGCTGTAAACATTTCAAACAAGAGACATAAATATCTACAATAAAAAGTATTGTGGAAGAGATTATTTTATAAATTGATTTTTTTTAACTTGAAAAGAAAAAACAGTAGATATATTTAATATATTTACTTATTTGCACGTAGCTTGAATGATACAGAACAAGATTACTGTGTTAGAAATCCACATACAGTATAAAAACATTTGTTAGACATAAATTCACCATTCTGCTGACATTTGCAATAACTGTTTATCCAAGCTTAACTTCAGGTATTTACAATATTTTTCATACATGAATCTTTGTATATGTGCAATGTTTCATTAACTACACAATGTGAAACCCTGATTTTTGTAGTTTTTCATCACAATCTGAACATAATAGCTATTTGCATTTAACACATTGGCTTTTTGAAACACTAGTAATTAAGGCATCTTTGCTGTATAGTTTCTCAATAGTGCAAACAAAAACTGTCTTTAATAATGTGATTAAAACATAGAAGTAACTGAATATCCCAAAGTTTTTTGTATTTTTTACTGTAATTGGAAGATAGCTGTGCATTTTGGAGTTCTCTAGTGAGAGACATTTAAAAGCTCTTAATGCTGATTGTTTTTTGTTGGTTCCTCATAACTGGTTCTGCTGTCTTCTCTTCATGACAGTATAATTCATCTTCTTTTATTCCATGATGTAAAATACAGTAGCATTTAAAGGAATACCTAATAACTGAGTGAATCCCAAATGCAGCAAAGGCATACAGTTTTCATAGTGCACTTTCACCTCACTGAAGTAAAAGTTGCTCCTACTAGACATTTTTCCACTTCAATGTGAAGTAGATTGTTAGGGTTATGTTAGTGGTTTCATTATAGAGCTTGACAGTTCAGTTCTCTTCTGCCAGTATTTCTCAAAAGGCTTTCAGTACATATTTCAGGGATACTTTAGGGGATTGTTTCACCACATAAACACACTGTTTCCCCATCATGTCAGTGTAGCTGCAATAAATAAGCATTTACATCCTAGAAGGAAAAAAAGGAGAAAGTTTGTCACATTACTTATAGCTCTAACATCAACTCTGTGTCTGAAACAGGGTAACCAAACAGGACCATAACACAAGAATAATTGTATTTGCCCAAATTTTAGAACAAGTTATCTTCACAACTACTTTCAATTAATGTTTTCAATGACATTTCTTTATGTACTAAAGAGCCTGCAAGAACAGTAGAATTAGTTTTCAAAGCCATCAGTTTAGCCTGGTATTCCTCTGCTCCCTGCTGAGCATAAAGATCATCATCATATGATCATGTAGTTAAAACATGTTATGTATGATAATCCTTCACCCAGCCACTCCAACATTCCTGTACTACTTTTGCTCTGAGTTGCTCAGGTGACCTTGGTCACAATTTATCCTGACATACATTAAGATGCCAGAAAATGAGCATAAAGGGATCCTGAACCCTAGAGAAACAAACTGACACTACCTATAGCTGTTGTTCTGATCTAGCAGAAGAACTAGGCAGTCTATGTTACATGCTTTCATAGCTCTACCAAGTTGGGAGTCAAAACTCAGTTCTTCCGCATCCCTGCTGACTGAAACTCTGGAAGAAGTTTGCAATTATCCCTGTAGGGACATCAAAACTGAGGTCACAGGTGCACAGCAGTCCCAGAAAAAAAGTAAATAATTTACTTGTTTGATACATCAAAGTGATCAATTCTGTTGTCACAGAATGATAGATTCCCCAAAACTCCTTAAGATGTAGGTAAAATAAGCAATTTTTAAGTTCTTTTCAAGTTCACTCAAATCCTACACACAACCAAGTGTCTTCTGCAACTCCTTTCTCACTGTCAGGTCTCTCCATCTGGAGGGGTTTCTATCTAGTGTAACTTTTGGTGCCCAACTGCAGAAAGCCACGTTTATAGAAATAAGCACAAACAGCAAAACATGCATCTACCAGACACCCTCTTTATGCTACTGCTATAACAACCTACTGAGAAATGCAAGTAGGTATTTGTCTTAGGCTCTTCTGCTCTCTACAAACTCATAATTTTCTAAGCATTCAGCACTAAGCTTTAGAACTTAGTATACTGTCACTTGCCCTTGTCACCAGATGTGCAAATGCCAATGACATTCCTGGGCTAAGATTCTCCATTCTGCATTACACTTAAAACAGGTACAACAGATCTAAGAGAAAACATCAGTCCCTTCCACAGTCTACCTACTCAGCTCAGCCCTTTTTAACATCTATTTTAAGGCTCTTAGTAGTCAAAGACTATTAGCTACTTTGTTATTAGGGAGATGATTCCTCTGTAAAGTAAGAAAAAAATATGAAAATTATTATCATGCTATATCACACAACTATCATAGGGAATCAACTCCAGATTTCTGTAAAAACCACGCAATACACTTTAGCATTAGCAGAAACTGAAGTAGAAGCCTTCCTGTCCAGCCACAGTTTAGCATAAGCAAAATAAGAGGAATACTGTAAGTGATATAACCATGTTTATTACTGAACACAACTGGAAGTGGATTACCTTAGCTATATTACCAGTATATCCTGGAACCAGAGTAAGGTGATTCTCCTCTTCCCACAAAACACTTAGCTGTTGTTTTAAAATATGAATGTTTCTGAAAGAGAATGATCACTTTATAACATAGTACATTTCAGTAGTCTCTTTTACTAAAATTAGTGATTACTACTACATACAGACTTAGCCTATACAACACATACTGCCACAAGATCTGAAAAATTTTGATTCAACTTCTACAGCATTTGTATAATCCCTGATATGAGTATGTCCTACATGTATTAAAACTAGCAAAAAGAGAACAACAAAACCAGTAACTTTACTGTCCTGAAAGGACTTTAAAGCTTTAACTATAAAATTATAATTTTGCCTTTTATAGACAAGTTGTGCTCCTACTGATCAAAATTAAAACAGATTGAGATGAAACAGGCTACAGAAAAACATTTAAATATTTTCCAACACTATACTCACCCATCTTCTGCCTTTTCTGTATGTGCAGACAGTTCTGACCACCATCTTTTAATGACTGCCTGAAGCCAGTTTAGACCAACTATCACATATCTGTAATAACACATTTTACACATTATGCATTTCCCCCTCTGTGTGCATTATCTACAGGCCAGATAAAGTGTTGAGATAAATTTGTATGCAATTTAGAAAGCAATACATTTTCTATTCGGGAAGCAGAAAAATCTAGCCAAATTGCTAAGTTCCAATACTTGCTTATGCTTGCAATTTCTAAGTGGTAAACTGAAGTTCTTGTTGAAAAAGCAAAAGAAAACTCTGCCTTGATTTCATGTTATAAGTGCTATGTTTCAGTGTTTCATGTTTTTTCATGTTTCAGTGCTATGCTTTTTAACTATTCAGGATAAATAAATCTGCATAAGGGCAAAGCCAGTCCTCTTCCTCAAGTTCCTAACATTGCATTTTTGCACGACTGTTTTGTTAAAAGATAAAGGTTCAGAGGAAAGCTTCAATTCCGGAACTGTCTCATTTCCTGACAAAGGCAGAGCTGGGAGAAGGGGCAGGGGGAACAAGAGTCAGGATTAAAAACCATTGATTTCCAGGGCTCTGCACAGCCAGGAAGTAATAATGTTTTAAAAACATCCCAAGCTGATACTTACTCTTCGTATTTGCTTTTAAGCAGAGATTTCACTAAAGGCAAAAGATCTACACAGCAGCCAACTGAAACATACGGTTTTTCTTCCTGTAAACTTAAAAAACAAGATGATTCAGAAGTGCTTGAACTTCAGTGTGGTTATAAGCAGATTTTAATCCCCCCCCCCTTTTTTCTGTTTGTACCTGTTCGTAAGCACAGGAAGGCAGTCTACTACTACTCCAAGATCCTGTATCCTAAAACATTAAGAATAAAATCATAAGTGTTACTAGTACATCCCACTACTAGTAGTAGAAGTATACGCTTCCACTATGGTTTAAAAAGTGTAACTAAGTCACAACATTTATGGAACTGCTAAAAATACTGTGGTGTATTTGAGATTGCTATAATTTTAAGGATATAGAAGAACAGATTTATTTTACCTCACCAAGTAGGCTACCAGTTCACTTATACTTCTCCTTCTCCAAAAGGTTAAAGCCACGTTCAGTCTCAGATTCCTGCTGAAAAGAACTTGAGCCATAGTTTCATGGTCCTGAGAAACCTGCATGTTTTTAAAAATATAAAAAGTTGCCACAAGTTAAGTAGCCAGCAATGAAACAGTAAGATACTCTAATATAATCTGGTATACAATAATACACTTTTCTACCTGTATGTTGATGCGTTGCTTTTAAAAATTTATGTAAGAATAGACTTAAACCCATAAATTTCCCTTAGAAGGGGGCACAAAAATATTAGACCTACTTCACATGAAAGCTGCAAGAATAAGATTTGTACCTGTTTACCACGTAAGACAGGTATCTAATAAATAAAATGAACCTTCATGCTCATCAACCTATAATGCTCACCAACTCAGAACTTTTTATTTAGATGATTATTAATTTTGACACAATTTAGGCACAAGTAATTACATGTATTATTCTGAATTCAGAGAGAAAAGGTTCATTTCTGAAAAAGCTTATTCTCTGAATGAAGTTCAGGCATTTTAATTAATTAGACCTTGGATTGGAATGAACACTGCAGAGCCACACACATCTCTCAAAGCAGTTAAGCGGTCATTTGTGGCCAGTGATCTGGTCCTTAGATTCCCAGAAAATTAATCTTCCCCTGTCTTCATCTCTTTACCCATCTTTCTGCAACCTCTTTTTTGTAGCTATTCTGCTACAAGAAAAGTCTTGAAACCATCAAACTGAACAGTGCAGAAGTGCCGCAGACTTGCACCTTCAGCCCAGTGGCTTCTCAGGGCTCTCCTCATAGCAGCCCACATTTACAGCACCGTGAAAAGTGTGATTATCTGATCTTACCTTTCCTGCCATGCCTCACCTTAAATACATGCAAGCCTCAATGAGCAACAAAAACCTACAGTGCCAGAAATGTAAACTTCAACATTAAAGGCCTTAAATGGCCTTCACTGTCACAAAACCCATTCAGTTTAAACATCTGATCTTTTAGCCAGTTTCAGAAGCCCTGCAAGCATCCACTAGGTTTCCTCAACCAATCCTAACAAGAAATAAAGCTCACAAAAACACTTAAGTTAGTTTCACACGAAGTTGATACTGCTATGGTAAACTGTCCTAATCCACCTCACCAGTTTATTCTTATTGATACAGTAACATTTTTTACACTTCAATAAACACATATATGGACATGTGTCCTGCCAGTTCATGAAACCTGAGCAGGTTTAAACAACATTCTCCTTTGGTGCTGGTACAATTTAAACCCAGTCAAGTCTGGCAGATCTGAGCTTCTGAACTGACACAAATATGAAGAAAAGTGGCAGGACTATTACTGTTGACAACTGTATCACCATAAACTGACAGACTGTAAATCACAAGACCTGATGTCTGCAGAATTAAAGGAAATTAATCTAAAGAAAGAAAACTTCCACAGCTAATTACTAGGAACAATTCTTCTTTAAACTGGAGTTTTTTCAAACTCTACCTACCTCTGAAAAAAATGCGCTGTATTTGGATGAGGGGCCTTCTGTTTGAGATGAGCCAGAGTCACTAGAATTCAGCAAGTGTGTACGACTGTTGTGAAGTTTTGCTGGCAGATTCCCTGCACAAGCCAGTTCATTTTCTTTATTTGCCATGTCACGGCCCCTAGATTTAGGGCACAGTTTCTTTCTGTAACAAGGCTTTGGAGTATAACAATGAACTTTCCTTTTACAGTATACCACTTTGAAAAGAGAGAAGGGACTGGTCACCGTCTTTCCAACTGTTACTCTGCAATAATAAAGCACTATTTTAGTGAAGGTTGATCCAAACCAAATCATTTGCATTATTATGTTTTTATATAATTATATAATATATATATATTGGAAACATTTTTCTCCCAGTACATATATTAATGGCATTTGCTTATCACAAGTCATGCCACCAATGTTCTTCTCTGTTTTTATTAATGCAGAGACTCATTATTGCACAGCCCTCCTACCTGCTTGTGTATGAAGCCAGCTGTTTTGGAAATTTCTTACCCTGGGAGAAAGGCAATAGAGAAAAAAAAAGCCGTATTACCAGAAAGGGTCATTACTTAGCATTAATGGTAACATTTACATTGTGTGCATCAGCAAGACAATGTTATGATTTTTTTTTTGTTAACACTGTTCATAAAATGTTAGTTTTAAAACAAAATTTCAATAAACAGAGGATATTGACATCTTTGCTGCTGTTTGAAGAGGTCTTACAGTAAGTTTGCCTCTCTAGTTTCCTCTGTACTCCACTGTCTTACTCTTCAGCCAGTAACATAGGTATGAGGTCATAAAAACTACTTTTGAGTAGCAAGAATCTAGTGAAAATCTACATGCTACCAACATGATGAAGTAGATGAAGTTGTACGATTATATGACAGCTCCATTTCAATGAAAGGGTTTCTTTCACCTACTCCACCTCTCATTTGTGCCATGTAGTCCACAAGAAAGAACTTCATCATGACAAAATTCCTGTATTGAAACATTTTTGGCTAGATTGCAGAAAAACAGGCATGATTAAGACTGCATCAGTACCTACTGCTCATATGGACAATATGATGTACTGATCTGTGCAGCCGCTGCCTGTGTCTAACACAAGTTTTAATAAATGTTATAACATGTTTTCATAATATAACTGCTGTTCAACTTAAAGTTCTATTGCACATGTAAACATCAAATGTTTTCTAGTGCTGTGCTTCTAGATTTAGACTCCTCAGAACTATAAACTTGTTTAAATCTTCACTTTTCTCAGAGGACATAAAACAACACAACAAACAACACAAACAGCTTACCTCCTTCATGATCTTTTTAGTGGAAGAAGAGATTCTTTTCCTGGGGAGATCAATGGGATGACCTTCAATATGCAATACTTTCTGTTTTTTAACATTGTGAGCTTCAGATGCCATAATCTCTCAAATCCCTGTTCTCAAGGGAAAGATATTTAGTTGTATTTTCTAAAACATTCTGTCAGCTTTCTTCAAATGCAGCTAGCAACACTAGAATTCAGCTATTTTCAAGATCTTCTGTCCTATATATAACCCAAGACATCATCCTTTAGTGAGTATTAGCTGGAGGCCTTATTAACATGTTGAGCATTTCAAAATCCCTATTTAGCTTTCAAAAAAGATGAAACCAAAATCACCCTAAGAAACAGAGGCAAAGATTCTGTTTTCACGCCAGTTTCTAAACCTGCACTGAAGGGTGCCACACAAACAAGATTCATTTCAAGTAAACAATTCAAACCAAACAATTAAAGTAAAGAATATGGCAAAATGAGACTCTTTCCTTCCACTATGAATTTGATCTGCCACCTAGAGAAAAATAATTGGCTTCACACCTGTTTCCAAGTGTGAAAGACAGATAAAAAACTGATTCTTGATTCTTGTTTTTCAGGAAGAAAGCAAACTTCATCAAAATAAAAAAGGTTGCAAAAAAAAAATTAAAAAGGAAAAAAAAAGAAAGAAAAAAAGTCAAAGATCTTCCCCTTAGATTACTGGCAAATATACATCCCCTTCCCCTCCCCCCCATTTTTGTCAAAGCAGTACTTTGGCTATTTTTCATACTAAACCCCACAACTTTATTTTATGTCTGAAGTCCTTTGTCTTGAAGTATGCAAGTATTTCCATAAGAATCAACACCAAAATTGAGACAGTTGCACATATGATTTTGCATCTTTTGTAACTGATCAGAAGATTCATTACTTGAGACTAGGTTCAACTACTATATCAGCATAGAGGAAACTACTCTTGAAGTGTTTCAGCAAGACATCCTATGTTACTTATAAAAGACAACCAATTGCTCCAATATTACTGGTTTTTTTCCCCTGAATGGTGAAACTCTGGTCTCAACATGAGTGCTCCAATCTCTCCCCTTTGTCTTTAGCAGCAGCCCTATCCCTTTTACTCTGTGTAGCAGATTTTCCCCTCATTAAGAACTTCAGCATTTAAAAGACTAAGACACTGAGCAATAAATAAGCCAGATGGGAAACAGTGTATTAGCCATGAAGATCGATGCAGCAGCTAAAGGCCATCAAATAAAGCAGGTGGCAGGCCCAAAACAAGACAGATGCAGTATTCAGGTACATTAAAATCCCTGCTGTAGGGTACAGTGGAATTAAAAAAAAAAATTCTTCAAATGTCCTGGTATTTTTCGGAATTGTATCACTACCAAAGAACTTCACTTGAGATCTCTCTCTCAAAAAACAGAGTATTTACTGACAGAATCCCTTACCCTGCAAGATGGGAACATGGAGCCCTCAGACTACAGCAAGAACTGAAAATGGCACCATTATTTAAGGCAATATTTTTTCAGATGTAAGTCTGGCTTAAGACTGGTTTGTTAATTTTTTCACACTATGAAACAGTGATGAAGAGTTCTCACTTTGCTAGCTCTCCACATTTCCTAGTTCTTCCACACAGGCTTGTAAATAAACTTTTCCCAGAAGTTTAGAAAAAACCTCACAAAAACAAACACCTTTTCTTCTGCTTATCAGACTGGTTAAAACCATTACTTGCACTCAAAACGGGCTATGTATTAAAATTTGAACTTGGAGCAACACAAAAACATATGCTGAAGAACTGGACTGTGGAAGATATTAGAAGGCTAGAAAGAAATGTCTTACCAAGGAAATTCAATTAGTGTATCAGTTCTTAATACAGGGCTCTAAAGAGTATCAAGTATCTCAAAATACCTGAACTGGAGCTATCTGAACTGGAGAGAGAGGACTCTGGATGGAAGTTCCTTACAAAAGGTGGCATGTGTCCAGGAGAAAAAATAAAGAGAATTTTACACTCTGAGAAATCTAACATAAGAGTATATTGTACCCCAGCCTCCCAACTGAAACAGAATGAAACAACCAATTATCTCCTTAAAGACTGGTAAAATAAATTCAAAAGGTCTAAAGATGATCAGATATAAAGGAACATCTGATGAAGCAAAGTAAAATCCTATTGATTTCACAGTCCAACAGTTTAGAGAGGTTTCCATAGTTTAACCTGTTGAGTGTCTCAGATTATGCAGAAGCAGCAGTGAACATTTAAGCAGTAATGAAACAGCTGTATTTTTAGCCAAGGTGCAGAATCTCTCCCTTGGAGCTGATGAAGCACATAAAGAAAACACAGTCAGTATTTAAAGAGCCTCCAGGAAGATCCAGACTGACATCTCTGTTTCGCTAATTAGTAAACAATGCAATCGTGTGACTTAGTGGACACAAACAAATAATATAATGGGAAAGATTCAGCCTGGCTGTCACCAAGGCAACACAGCTTGGAAAAGAGAAGGCTCCAGGGTGACCTCGCTGCAGCCTTCCAGTACCTGAAGGGGCTACAAGAGAGCTGGAGAGGGACTTTTTACCAGAGCATTTGTAATAGACCAAAGGGCAATAGGTTCAAATTGAAAGAAAGCAGGTTTAGATTGCATATTAGGACAAAATTCTTTACTGAGAGGGTGGTAAGGCACTGGAACACATTTCCTAGAGAAGTGGTCAATGCCTTGTCCCTGGAAGTGTTCAAGGCCAAGTTAGATAGGGCTTTGAGCAGTTTGGTCTAGTGGAAGGTGTCCCCTCCTTCCCATGGCAGGGAAATTTTAACTAGAAGATCTTTAAAGTCCGTTCTAACCCATATCATTCTATGATTCTATGAAGTCCTGCTCTGCAAAATTAATGGAATTTATTAAGAGTACGGGGTAGTACAACATGGATAAAGGGCAACTAAATGCCCTTTAAATAGACTTTGAGTTTCCAAGTCCCTCACTTAAATCTGAGGAAACTAAGCAACCAAACAAAAAAAGGGAAAGCTTTTGCGCATAGAAGTATCTCAGGAACAGCCATAGACTGTCTAGGAGGTTCCCCATTGCAGAAAATCGCCTCCAGAATCCTGGGGAAAATCTTTGGAAAGCATTGGTTTATGCTGTTCAATATATCCATAAATTACCTTGCAGAAGGGTAGATGAAGACTGTTAACAATACAAAGTCACACCAGTGAAGAAAAGGCCTAACTGAAGAAGGATTGTGATGTACAATAAGCAGAAGCAATGCTTATGGATCAATATAAAGCAAAGCTTATGTATCTCCAGGTAGGAAAAAATTCTGGGTTTCTATTGGGATCACAGTCTCTATAGTAACTGCCACCCACAACAGTATCTGCATATAGGACAGCTTCCTTTAGATCAGTTGGACTGTTTAGTGCTCCATATGGATCAATAAACAGAAAAATAAACAGAACACTATTGTTACAGTGTACAGACCTAACTTGTGCCTGTATTTCAAATATTGAGAGCAGGGTTAGTTAACTTTCTTTAAAAAAACCAACCCTAGAAGTAAAAAAAGCTTCTAAATAAAGTAAAAAACACCTCAGACAAAGGCAAGTTTAAAAGATACGGAATACCTTTCATATAATCAACAACTGATTATACCAGCCTCTTCAGTCTGAAGAAGAGACTACTTATAGCCAACAGGGGAAATAAGACAAAGGCCTACAAAATGAATGGCTTGGTAAAGTTGCATATAGGTTGTGCCCTCTCTTGCCCTTATTTTTACCCTTAAAAATAAAGGGTCGAAAGACAATAGCTGAAGATCGGATAAAAGCTAACAAGGGTAAGCTGTGTGCAAATTATAATCGCCCTGAACTTGCCACAGAATGTTGTGGACCCAAATGTTTTATATGGCTTCTAGGACAGAATGTGCAAAAAAATTTAAAAAAAACAAACCAAAAACATAGACTGAAAGTGATTAAATTCAGACATGCAACCCACATAGTCCAGACAGAGCAGAACACAAGCAGAAGAATCTGGTATATACAAACCTAACAGTATTATAATAAACTTAGTCAATATCTTAAGAAACCACCTTTGAAAGGCTTAGTAACACCTAGGAAAATTCTGGCTGGCCAACATTTAAAAAGATGAATGCCACAGGATGAAAGGCACTTTACATGGCTCTTCACAACTTTGATTTCCTATTTGCAATCAGGTATCATCTAGGGATAGCTAATTAGACACTACAGTCCCCTGTAATTCTGGGATATATAAAGAGGGTTCTTTAACTGGCATTAGATACTAATTTGTACAGAGTCAAACAATCTATACCTTAATGCCTTTAATTTCTGACTTTTCCCTTGTGATGAGCACAGCTAGTTGTATTTGATCAAGACAATCTGCTATACAATCTCATTAAGGCCAGTGCATTTCCCTCACTTTACAAAGCTTTTAGAATTAAACTAAGGATAGAATGCATGTCCCTTCAGCTCTGCCTTGGTCCACTCTACAATCCTAAACTGTTTTAAAACTGAGCAAGGTAGACTGCAAATCTGAACAGAGATGTATGATTTCATTAGAATGACAGAATCAAATTCCACCAACTTCCCCAAAACCATGGGTGATTTCTCACAGCAGATGACAATCTTCCCTTCTCCCCCTTTTATTCTCTCCAATCTTCAGTAAGCAGAATGACTAAAGTAATAGCAGCCATGTCTCCTGAAAAGAAGCTGGTTTGCCCCACAGTCAACAGACAGTACCTGTGCAAAGTTTTCTTGATGGTTCTACTGATATTTTCTATCTCTGATCCCTCCCAGATGCAATAAAACTCTTTAGGTCACACCAGAATTGGGCAAAGGAAGTCCGCACTAACAGGCTTTCAAGTGCATATCTATTGAAGGCAAGTATTAACAACTCTGCCACTCCCTCCCATCGCCCTAAGTTCTGGGCAAGGCCTCCAGAGAGAGACAAACTCTTCTTGGCAAGTTATGTAATCTACATGCATATTAACATAATGTTATTTTCTTACAGAACGTAGGCTGGACTACTTTGTATGGCAGCAAAACATAAAATAGTTAAATATCTTAAGCCATCAGCAATGCCTTTAAAAACACACATACTTCCATCTCATTTCTTGTCCAAATTTTTAACAGCTACTTTTTCCTGCCGCATTCCATGTGCACCAGCCATGGCAAATG